GTACACACGTGTACAAACGCACACAACACCGCAGGAAGCAGGGGCAAAGCAGCGTACGTCTTCAGACTGCTCGTCGACGGGGAACGGGGTGTTGACCTGCACGTCAGCGGCGCCCTCTGGAAGGACAACGCGCACCTCGGCCTCATCAACAACCTGGTTGTCAAACACGTGGCCCTGGCGTGGCGAAGGCGTGGCATTGGGAGCGAAAGGGGGGAGGAGTGTTTGCACAAGGAGAGATTGGAAGGTTGAAGGTGCTCTCAAGGTGAGAAACAGGCAGGCATAGAGAGATGCAGATGGAGAGAGGGGGGAGGTGCGGAGAGGGATATGCAGATGGGAGAGCGCGCACGATGATGTACCGATGGAGAGCGCACACGATGATGTACCGATGGAGTGCGCTACGGGATGAAACCAACACTGCACACACACACACACGCATGCACACACACACACACATGCACGCATGCACGTACCACAAAGCGGGTGGACATGACGTAGGTGGAGCCCTCAGTGCTGAGAATCTCGCCGGATGGAACGTCGTACGCGAGCGAGTACTGCGTCTTCCAGCCGCCAAACAGCGGGAAACGGGGCTGGATCTCAACGATCACCGCATCCTCCTCCTCCTGCCAAAACACAACGACGCCAGAATAACAACAGTCACGCATGCATCGTGAGGCCAAGAGAAAAAAAAAGCACAATGCACAGCACGGTGCAAACAGCAGCACAACGCACAACGCAAAATGCAGCAAATGCGAGGACACGCAACATACGCGGAGGTTGCTTGTGGAGATGTTGCCAATGACGTCACGGTAGTTGACACCGGAAGCCGCTGCCGGCAGACGCGTCGTGAACGACCGCAGCGCTGTCCGCCCAGCACGCGGATCCCGCTGCAGATCAAGGCGCGAAAACTCCCCCTGGTGTGTGCGTGGGTGTGAATATCAGGACACCAGCAAACCAAAGATGCGACGAAAATGCTGTCTCCACAAAACCCCGCGCGCACACCCGCTTCATGTTCTCATTCACATGATCATGTGTTCACCCACCATCGATACTAAAATCCCCCAATCCCAAGCACCTCCATCTCTCCCACTGTCTCACTGTATCACTGTCTCACTGTCTCACTCACTCTCACCAACACGAACACACACACACACCACAAGCTTGGCGCCGGAATGGACGATGGTGATGTCCTCGGAGATGGACGCGTAGCCCCAGTGCGACACGGTCACTTCGCGGACCAACTTGGTCACGGTCAGGAACGGCGTGTAACTCTCAAAGTGCACGCTGAGGTCCTTGTGTGCGTTGGCCTTCACATCCGTGTATGGGCCATACGACAGCTCCTGGCCCTTGTTGGAGTACGGCTTGGACTGCACGTGGATGTGTGTGCGCGTGTGTGTGTGTGTGGTTGTGATTGTGGTGAGGAGTGATTTTTGGTCGCGGTAAATGAACGGGTTTGGGAAGCAAGAGGAGTGAGTTGTTGAAAGAGTCAGCGCCAGGGGTCTTGCTGACACCGTTGCTCACATTCATGCACAGTAACACAGGAATCGCTTCTTGTGTGTTGAACAGCACACACACGCACACGCACAACACACACACACGCACACACACACACAACACATAGGCACGCACAACACATACACGCACACAACACATAGGCACGCACCTTTGTAAACGACTCGAGACGGCCCGGCACCACAACGGACGTCTTCTGCGTTGTGGTGGGATACTCGGAGGCAAAGTACAGGTTTCCAGTGAACTTGACAAGCTGATCGTCCTTCTGATGAATCCTGCATGACCCAAGCCATGCAGTTGGCGTGTGGTGGTGGCACAGCATTGTGAGGTGTCGCCGAAATCCCAAAGCACAGATGCAGGGCGCAGCAGTGTAATACCAACACCCAACCAAACATAGTTAACACCCTGCAGTATTCCGCCCACCAACACACACACACAAGCACACAAACAAGCCAAATACACACAAACACGCACAAGCATGCAAGACACACACATAAGCACGCAAGACACACCACAACACCCCCACTTACTCTGTGGGGAACGGCTTCTGGGCGTGGGTGTACACCTGGGTGATGACAAGGTTCACACTCTTGCCGGCAGCGATGTTCACTTGCACAGCACCATCACGCACGGGCAGCTCATCGTCACTATCCTCAAACTGCATGTGTGTCATGTGTAATGTGCGTGAGTGTTGTGTGTGAGTGGTGCGTGGTGCGTGTGTGTGTGTGTGTGTGTGTGTGTGTGTGTGTGTGTGTGTGTGTGTGTTGGATGTGTTTTGCACAGTGTGTTGGCATGATTGTGTCACTGACAACCCAAAAGCTTGACGGACACAAACACACACAAGTATACACACACACACAAGTATACACACGCAAATACACACAAATATACACACGCAAATACACACACATAAAACACACAAATACAATCACGAACACACACACAATACACAGACAAGACGACATCACACCTTGGCGGAGACAAAGGCGAGGACGCCGTCAATGTTGGCATCCGAGACTTGGTACGCGTGGACGGCAGCAGATCCGGTGTTCTTCACCGTCACCTTGGCCTCCACGTTGGTCAGGTGCGTTTGTGCGTTGATGGTCCGCGTCACATCCTCGTTCACCAAGGAAGCGCCAGTGCCCACAGCACCCACAGCCAGCACCACTGCCAGCACAGCCCACACTCCACTGTTCCGCCACATCTCTTCGTTTGTTTGACTTTCGGCTGTCGTCTCTCTGCCAGTGGAAGTCCTTGCGTTTCGTGAATGATACCTTTAAATTTCTCCGCTATTGCTGGAGCACCAAAAGTCGCCCTCCAGTGATACAAAACAAGCTCAGGCAAAAGGCAAACCAACCAGTGCAGGTGAACGACCGCCACCGCCAGTGCCACAAACCACGCACACACAAAGACAACGCAAGACACCCGACGACACCACTCGACCTCACCAACCCCCCCCCCCGCTTCCAAGCACACCAACCATGGCTGACGTTGTAAGTGAAGAAGACAACCATGATGAGGGCTAGCAGCACCCCGCTTCTCCTCCTCCAAAGATATCGCCACGCACTGCCCTCTTCCTCCTCTTCGTACCTCTCTGTTGCTCCTTTGCTCGTCGCGGGCGGCGGGCGAAACCGTGATTCGCGGACACAGCACCGATGTTGATGGTTGTTGGATGTTGATGACCACGGTGATGGTGGTGATGATGGTGAGGTTGGAAGACAATGTTGGTCGGCGGTCCAGAGTGCGGATAGCTGTGCCAATCCGTTGAAACGCGACGCCCCCCCCCCCCCCGCCTACATTGGGCTTAACGGGTGGGCCGCGGCAGCAGCTTGTCACCTGCCTCCTGCATCATCCAACATGTTGAATGGCGATGTTGAATCGCTGAACCGCCACAGCATATATATATATACCTCACGGCAGCAGCGGTCTCAACAGCACCAGTCGCGGTCGCAACACCAGCCACAACATCAACAGTCACCACACCATGACAGCTGCACGCATACCCTTGACAGCACCAGCATTGTGTGTGCCAGAGCGCTTTCTTTCTTCTTTCGCGCACGGCAGGGACCAACCGTTGCTTCTCCTCTTTCGTTTTCCCACTTTCTCCCGTGTGAGGCTCAGCGGTTGCGATTGCTGGACACGCTGTTCGTGGGCTTTGTACCGCACCGGCATGCTTGCATGCATGGTGGTGCTGCAATCAAGACGAGGAGGACGTCACGATGCTGGCCCGTGTCCATTGAGTGCACGTCGCTTCTTTCGTCCTCTCCTTGCCTCAAAAGCCAATGTGCGTGGTGTGGCGCGGCGTGGGCGTGCGCGCATGCGCAGTAACCACCACAACAGCACCGTTTTCCAACACACGCCTGCTGCTTCTCTCTTACCCTCTGTCGGTCTCCTCTCCCCTCCCCCGCCCGCACCCCATTCATTTGGCATGTCGTGTCGTGTGCTGCCACAACCACGTGCACGTCATCCTCCCTTTCTTGGTGTCCTTGTTCTTTTTCCCTTCACGTGCAAGCACGCACCTGCTGGCTGTCACACACCAACCACAGCAAGACGATACGTCCCGCACGCGCTGAATGAAAGAAAGACGCCATCAGCAACCGTTTACTGAAACAGCACCAGCTATGCCAACACTGACACAACACTGAACTGCCCTCTCCCCACTCGCTACGAGGCGGCACCATCCAAGCCTCGACGCCGCCCTCCGCTTCCATCTTTTCCCTTCTCTCTCATCTATGTTGTCCCTCTTTTCATCTCACCCAAACATACCCTCTTCTCCCCGTCTTCCACAACACCATTATCACCATCAACAACCCACGAATATCCCGCAACGACTCGGCCTTCCTCCCTTCCTTCCTTCGTTTCGCCAGGTTGAGGACGAAGTTCTTACCGGCTACGACGAGGACGTCGAGCAGACGACCGTTGCCGACCTCGAGGCCGAGAAGCCAAAGGACGTCAAGGGCTCCTACTCTGGTCTCCACAGCGCTGGTTTCAAGGACTTTTCCCTCAAGCCCGAGCTGCTGCGCGCCATCCGCGACTGCGGTTTCGAGCACCCTTCTGAGGGTACGTGTGTGTGTGTGTGTGGTTTGTATTTGTTTACGTTGCGCCTGTGTTGTGCTCGTTGCATTCGGTAATGCCGACTGAACACCACAGCTGCCACAGCAGCTGTCTTTGCCCCCACTCGCTTCGTTTTGCGTTGTTGTGGCTCACCCCCTCCCCCCCCCGGCGTGTGTTCGTGTCCAACACAACAGTCCAGCAGGAGTGCATCCCTCAGGCGCTGATTGGCACAGACGTCATCTGCCAGGCCAAGAGTGGTATGGGTAAGACTGCCGTCTTTGTCATCTCCGTGCTTGACCAGCTCAAGCCCGTTGATGGCGAGGTCAGCTGCCTCGTCCTCTGCCACGCCCGCGAGCTGGCCGATCAGATCCACAAGGAGTTTGAGCGCTTCGCCGCACACATGAGCCCCACTGTCCGCAGTGAGGTCTTCTACGGTGGCATCAAGCTTTCCTCCAACATTGAGAAGCTCCGCAACCCACCGGTACGGTTGACGCTCTTGCTTGTCTGTGTGGTGGAGGCACAACTTTGATCCATTGCGCTTCAATCCAATGAGCGTCACCTTCACCGCATGTTCTCACCCCTCCTCCCACTCCCCCGACCGCCTTGCCTTGCCCTTGGTTGCTGATTACAGCACGTCGTTGTGGGCACCCCTGGCCGCCTGTACCATCTCATGGAGGAGGGCCACCTGAAGCTTGGCAACGTCAAGTTCTTTGTCATTGACGAGTGCGACAAGGTTCTCAAGCCCGACGCCCGCTCCATCGGTTCGTTGCCCTCTGTTGCAAAGATCAGTGCATGGGGAATGTTGATGTGGTGCACGTCCACGCCTTGTGACGTTCTGTTGCCCTTTTGTAGCTGCTGGTTCCTCATCACAGTGCCGTCTTGGCACTCGCCCCCTTCGTGCCAACTTGCCGTCATATTCACACCACCAATTCCCCCTTTTGTATGCAACGTTACAGAGAAGGGCTCCGACGGCCTTGACATGCGCCGCAAGGTGCAGGCCCTTCACATGAAGTGCCCCCGCAACAAGCAAGTCATGATGTTCACCGCCACCCTCGACAAGGAGACCCGTGGCCTCTGCCGCAAGTTTATGAACAACGTACGTGTATGTGTGTGTTTGGGAGTGGTTGTACTTGTGGGTTTGTCGTGTACGCGCGCGTGTCTGTGGTTGTCCTTCTGTGTGTGTGTGTGTGTGCGTTTGCGTGTGTGCTGCATTGCGCGTCCTGCAGACGAGCCTGGGTCATGCTCCGCCCCAACTCGCTCACTCACCAAACTGGCACATTCTCGTCAACACGACAGCCAATGGAGGTGTGCGTCGACGACGACGCCAAGCTCAAGCTTCGCAGCCTGAAGCAGTACTACGTGAAGCTGACTGAGGACGAAAAGACGCGCAAGCTGCTCGACCTCCTGGATGCGCTTGAGTTCAACCAGGTTGTCATCTTCCTCAGCTCCCAGGCCCGCGTCCGCGTCCTCGCCAAGCTCCTCGAGCAGGAGAACTTCCCCGTCAAGGCCATCCACGGTGGCATGCGCCAGGAGCACCGGTCAGTCTTGGCTGGTGGTGATGGTGCCCCTGAGTTTGTGACCGCTGCTTTGATCCCACCAGCATGGCCGGATGTGTGTGTGTGTGTGTGTGTGCGTGTGTCGCTTGTGCTAACTATGGACCATGTGTGTGTGCGTGTGTGTGTTGCTGTTGGTGTGTGCAGTCTGGAGAACTACCGCGAGTTTAAGAGCTTCAAGGCCCGCATCCTCGTGGCCACGGATGTGTTCGGCCGCGGCATGGACATTGAGCGCGTCAACATTGTCATTAACTACGACATGCCCGAGGACACCGACACATACCTGCATCGCGTAAGTTACCAAAGCCGACGACGGGGGCTGCTGTGATCTGATACGCTGTTCGGAGATTACGCTGTACTTTGCGAGCGTTGTGTGTCTTGTCTGCTTTTGTGTACGTTGTCTGCTTTCGTTCGCCTCACCACACGTTATCACCGCGGGGGCGTTGTGGTTGTTACATTTCAGGTTGCGCGTGCTGGTCGCTTTGGCACCAAGGGTCTCGCCATCACCTTTGTGTCCACGCCCGAGGAGGCTGAGATTCTCAACAAGACACAGGGCCGCTTCGACGTTGACATTGCGGAAATGCCCGCCACCCTCGACAAGTCCGAATACAGTACGTTTGTCGCACTCGTCTGTATTGGAGGGCAGAGGGCCGAGGCGGGATGTGTGTGTGCGTGTGTGTGTGTGTGTGTGTCATGTTGTTGCCTTTGCTTGCGTTCCATGTGAACGCGTGCGCGTTTGTTGGTGACTGGCGCTTACACGTTGTTTGTCACCTCCCCTGTGTGTCGCGTCATCTTCTCTCAACAGTGGCGGACGACGAGGCCTAAGCTCGCTCAGCTCCCCGAGGCACCCGAATCTTGCAGCCGGCGCACACGTTCGCAGCTGCTTTTCCTTCTTCCTTGCCTATGCAGTCATTCAATTGACCGTGTTTGAATCTCTCAACCCCGTGATGTTCTGTCTTCCTTCTCCCTTTTGTCCCCAACGCATGAAGGCTTACGCGGCCACTTCTCGCGCATCGTGGCTCCCTCGCGGTTGATGCCCTTGGATCGTGTTCTGGTTGTTGTCTGTTCTAGTTTCACTGGCTGTGCACTCCCCCACCCCCGTTTATGTTCTGAAAAAAGCAATACAAGACACAACCCTCTCCTCCCGTGTACGCACGCTCTCCTGCAACAACGTGATGGAATGTAACACGACACGACAACAACACACAACGCTGGTTGCTGCTATTGGGGTCGCTGGTACTGAGTAATGGTTGCGTGTGCATCGTCTTGGTGTTGGCGGGCGTAATCGGAGAGTTCTGTGCTCTGGACCTCGAGCGTCACTTCCTTGAACACCTCGCTGCGGCTCACCTGCGTGTGCACAACACCGCTGTGAGGGAGGGAGGGAGGGTGTGTCTGTGTGTGTGTGCGTGTGTCTATGTCTGTGTCTGTGTGTGTCTGTGTGTGTGAACGTGTGTGCGTGTGTGTCTGTGTGTCTGTGTACGTGTGTGTCGTGTGTGTGTCACTGTGTGTGTATGTGTGTATGTGTGTCTGTGTGTGTCTATGTCTGTGTGTGTCACTGTGTGTGTGTGTGTGTGTGTGTGTGTGTGTGTGTCAACGCACTTCCTTGAAACCAAGGCGCTCAAACAGAGCCAAGCTGGGTGCATTGCTGAAGCCAATCTTTGCCACAAGCTTCTGCAATACGTGGGAGCAAGAGAGGGAGGGGTGAGCGAAAGGTGGTAGTGGCACAGGAACATGGGATAGCTGGGGAGAAGGAGGGGGAGGGGAGACAGGAGGGAGACGGAGACGGGAGCAACAAACAGTTCAAACACACACACACACGCACGCACGCACGCACGCACGGACCGTGACGCTGAGGTTCTTGACAGCATAATCCATCATCATCAACAGCGCCTGCCGGCCAAAGCCCTTGCCCCGTGCACTCGGCTCTGCAATCATGATCTTGACGATGTATGACCGAGCTTGTGTGAGGTAGTTGCAAAGTGTATGCACATGTGCACGTACACGTGTAATGCGCGCATGCACACAAGCAAGCAAGCATGTTCACACACAATCACACACACACACACACACTCAAGCATGTTCACACACAATCACGCAAACACACACACACACACACACACACACAAACACACACACACACACACACAAACACACACACACACACTCAAGCACGCACGCACGCACGCACACATATACACAAACACACACATACACAGCGACACACCTCAATCTCGGCTGTCGACTTGGAGTCGGGATCGTTGAAGAAGAGGTTCACATCGCCAACCATGGCCTCAATCTCATCGGAACTCGCGTCAAACACTTGCCTGCAGGGTGCCACGAAGCACAGCGACACAAAGGATGAGCGTGTGATCCAGACAGCCAGAACGAGTGTCGGCACGAAGAACCCCTCAGGGACGACTGCACATGCAACACGGACCTGTCCAGCACGATGAAGGTGCACTTGTCATCGTCCTCCCTCCATGACTTTTGCATGGCATATTCCTCTTCCAAACTCAGCGGCTCGGACGCTGTCTGGTCTCACACGCAAGCACAGCCAGTTGTTAGTGTGACGGGAGGCAGGCAGCGGGAGACAGAGGGAGACGGGCAGAGACAGAGGGGAAGGGCAGAGACAGAGGGAGAGGGCAGAGACAGAGGGTGACAGAGAAGTACAACACACACAGACACACGCATATACACAGACACACACACACACACGCGCGCGCAACTTACGAGCTCCTGCAGTTCCTCGCTCTGCATCCAAGTGTGGTATTTGGCCACGTGCTTGTGTTCATAAGGCACCAGCACCACCTGCGCCCCGTTCACCTGCACGTCCGCATTTGCCTTCATCGTCTTTGTTCCTCAGCACAGCAACAATGACCGCGGGCGACACGCAGAACGAGGTTTGAACTGCGCATGACCGCGGTCTGCGCACCCATCGAATCGCAAAAAGAAAAAAAAACGGGGGGGAAGAAGGATAATCACCAGAGCAAGCAATGAAGGAGAGAAGGAGAGGCGACAAAGCAAGCGCAAGCAGCGACAACGAATGGCCAGGCACGCGAATCGCACGGCCAGCAAGAGAGCAAGAGGACGACGGCATGGAACACGCATCATTGTTATCATATCCAGCGCACGAACAGATGAGCGGAGAGACAATGAAGAGGGCGAAGGCGAGGGCAAGAGCAAGGCGGACGCCAGCACGCGGGAGACATCCGTTCCGGCGCAGTTCCACGAGTTTGTTGGTTGGAGCGTCCAGAGTCATGGAACGGTGCGAGTCGCAGTCCGTTCAACCAGGTGCGTCGTGTATGTGTGCGTGTGCATGTGTGTGTGTGTGTGTGTGCGTGCGCGCGTGTGCATGTGCGTGTGCGTGTGCGTGCGCGCGTGTGCATGTGCGTGTGCGTGTGCGTGCGCGCGCGTGTGCGTGTGTGTGCATGTGCGTGTGTATGCGTGAGCGACGAGTTTGGGTCCATTCTGATGCCATCGTTCACAACCACAACACAGGGCGTGACTGGCTGTCTGACTGACTGAATGCATGGCACCCGAACCGACAACGAGTGGCGTGGTAACCCCCACAACATACCTTCCTCCTGCCAGCCCAACGGACCGACAGGAAGGATGGCGACCTCATCCGGGTCCAGAAGAACGCGTGAGCCCTTCTGGAGCACCAGAGTGTGCCGCCAGACCATCCAGGCTAGAGGCCCAGATGGTGCCGATGCTGTGTAAGGCAAGGTTCATCACACGTGCATGAGACTTGTGTGAGGGGCGTTAGTGAGGGGATTCTGCTTGAACAAGCAACGGCAGTCATCTGCAACAACCACGACAACAAGAGCAGCAGCACGAAGATGAACGCAGCAGCAGCAGCAACAACAACAACAACAACAACAACAGCAGCAGCAGCAGCAGCAACAGCAGCAGCAGCAGCAGCAGCAGCAGCATCATCCCACGTTTGCTATGCTCCATTCGCGACACATGCGGCGCGACACTGTCACCAGCCCGTTATCCATATCAGGACCGTCCGGCTCGGAGGACCCACGCCACGGACCAAGCTCACCGTTTGCCTCCTCCACCAGGGACCTGCACACCCACAAGGCACGGGCGCATCGATTGCGGTGAGATTGCGGAACAGCACACACACACGTGCACACACGTGCACACATGCACTCGCACATGCACATGCACACACACACACACACGTGTGCACACATGCACTCGCACATGCACACACACACACATATATACAATTTACACTCACTCATACGCATTTACACACACACACACACACATGCGCTCACGCACAAACTCATGCACTCACATGTACACACATGCACACTCGCATACACACATGCACACACGCATTCACACGTGCACACACGCATACACGCATACATATTTACACACACGCATTCACATACACACGCACACGCTCGCCTACATGGAACCATACCTCGCAGCGATAGTCTTTGCGCAGCAACGTCTCGGTCAGCAGACGCACCGCAGTGCG